ATCCCAGTGTTCTCAGCAGGTGTGCCACGGTATATCAACACTAAAAACACATATAGCCATCAGCAGAGGGATAAACTTTAATACAGCTCAAATCTCAAATCTGCTTGCCACTGCTGTTACCTCAGCTCTCCGCCAAGAGCACACTGTTCCCTGTCTCTCAGATTTATCCCCTGCCTCATGTAAAAAACAGTGATGGTGTTGGTGTGTGTGGGATGTGCGTGTCCGCCATGCCCCTAATTTCCTTGCTCACAGCATTTTAAAATACACTGAAGGATGTGGGTTGTTGCTTAGTTCAAGGGAGGCCCTAAGGTGTTGTTTTTGTACCGGCTGTTGTTCATATATTATGATGCATTCATTTCCCTTGCTTTTAGAAAAAAGAACTGGGATTTTATACTTTAAAGGGATAGTTCAACCAAAAATGAAAACAATTCTGCCGTTGTTAATCAACCTCCAACCCATCTGAATGCTGTCAGGTGTCTGAGCAAGAACTTCCAGGAATAGAATCTGAATGTAAACATGAATACCCAAAGCAAATGTGCTGTGTTGTCTTAATTTAGTCTGGCCTTATCCTACCCTGCCCTGCTGGGAGCAGTTTGTTGAAATTGGAGTCAATTGTTTCTTTTTTCATTTTCTTGCTGGCAGCTCCCAGTTGTTTAGTAGCTAAGCTACAAGCCAATGTTTAAGGAGCTACAGTATGAGCTATGCCCTGAACGGGATTCATTTAGCATTATTGAGTGGCATATTTTTTGTTTTGAACATCTAATGATGAAACAGTCCTAAACGGCTTCAGAAACACAGACCTTCATCTTAACTAAAAATGTACTATGATAATACAATGTTTTGGGGCATATACCCTGGTATTCTTTGATATACCTTGATGGAATATCAGATAATTATTCAGTACCATGGCTTTACCATCTGACATCATCATTGCACCATGGCACCGCCATGTTGAAAGTTGAGTAACAGAAACCAGGCGTTTTTCAAAGAACGATAGAAGCCCTTGCTTATTTAGTGTATTTACTTCCACTTAATAGTATATTAGCCCAGGCTCATTGGAAAAATGTGCCTCTGATAGCATTTCTGCTAAATTATATTACATTGCTTTGCTTTTTATATTACTTTATTATTTTCAAAGTAAAATGTCCAATGAGTGGCACTCAAAGCTTGTATAGTTTTATTTGAAATGTAAATCTGGTAACGTTTTATTACGTTGGTTGTATCGTGGCAGTTGGGAAATTAATGCATAGAGGAGCTGGTTATAAATATGTGATATATGATGTAAATGTGAATGTTTTTTAAATCATTAATAGCACAAAAAAAAGTATTGTTTGAGCCATAATATCATTTTTAACTGTACATGATACTAATGCAGACATGTCTCCACAGCTGAGACTTCAGTGCAGCGTCTACGGTCAGTTTGGAATGATTTTGATATGCGACACTCAAAGTGCTTTCTGTCCTGAGGGTTGATGGGTGTTCGTTTGGAGTTTGGACGACATCCCATTCAATGTCAAAGCATTTAATCTGCTTCATTGCGCTTTGTAATCTGCTTTGCTGTATAATTTTTTTCATGTTTTCATGTTTCATGAATAATGAACTATGCCATATGTTTATAGAAATGTGATTTTTAAATAGCAAAATGCTCTGATTAAGGAATATTTTACCAGATTTTGGCGTTCTTTATTCTGTGGAACATAAAAATTAAGTTTTGAATATTATATATTGGTGGGATTTTTTCATGGAACTACAGTGAATGTGAACTGTGAATTCAAGCTTGAGAAGGACACAAATGCAAAGTGTCAAAAAGGTATATAAAAGTAGTCAATTTGACTTTACGATAGCTTTAAACAGACCTCAAGAACCAGATCATTCTGATTCGTTAATGAATCAACAAATTGATTATGATCGTATTTGTGAATCAGATCAATAGATTAATTGAAAAGATCTGACAAAACATCAATTTGCTTTTTCCACTTTTAAAGGGGCACTATGCAGGAATGCCATTTTTGTCAAACATCGACCCTTAAAGTCAAAGTAGAGTACTTGAATTTAACGTTATTGTAATTTAGCGTGGCGTGTTGCGTAGTGTGCAGTAGTACATTGTGTTTAATTTGTCGTTTAATGAGATCAAAAAATATATGTTGTTAGTGGTTAGAATTTTCACATGATTAAATACATAGATCTATAGACGTCATTTATGGGGGGAACGGGTGGAACATGTCCCCACTACTTTTTGAAACATCTCTGAAACAATATATGTATATATACAGATTTATATTTTTTTTTGCTTGAACTATCCCTTTAAATCATTACTATTTTGACAAACAGATGTAATGCTGTTACCTTCGCAATGCCACAACAAGATGCAACAAAAGCAGATGGGATCTATGAATAGACTACGGATGCGGATCTTTCCTGCTGGAATGGTGTGACTCCATGCTTTGGTTCCCTATATACTCCCTCATGGGCTTCAGTGGCTTTGGCCTGGTACCCATCAGCCCCCTTCACCACCTGTCCTCATAATGGAGAAGGTCCATGTTTTTCTAGCACCCTGATGTCTACAATATGCAGTGGCTCTAAAAACATGTCCTTCATTTTTAACACTTGACGTTATTGATTCGGAAGCTCCCACTTATAGAACATTGTCCAGTGGGACCCGTTTGAGACCAGGCCACGCACTTGGGGATTGTGATGGATGAAGCCTTGACATTTACCGTCCTGTCTTCTAATCAACTCACTCTGTTCTGCCTAGCTGTAGAGTTTGATTGGCTCAGCTCACTGGCCCAAGTCATGTGACACTTAAATCTCAGGCCATCAGAAAGCGTACTCAAATGTCTAGGGCTTTCAGAGTTCATTGCTATCCCGTTCACAGGAAGTGCAGTCATTAGGATGATGGGTTGGATGCACACCCAGAGCCCCCTTCACATGACATCTCTTCTTCTCTCTTGTTGCCTGTTAATCAGGACAATCCCATATGTTCGAACTGTCAGAGCAGGTGGCTATCTGTTGGAGGATAGGAATTTGACGTGACCACTCAGAACCCACGCAATAAATTGCATCACGCTTAAATTGCACACACATCTATCTGTCATCTATCTATCTTGTTTTTGAAAATATCTTTAAAGAAATCTTTTAAAAAGTAGATCATGTGTCATATTCCTTAAATTTAGTTTAATCTGAAATCATACATATATATATATCAATATGTCAAAATGTTCTTGTTGATTAACAAAAATGTATGAGAACTGTTTTTGTGATCAATCTGAAATAACATATTGAGTACACTACTATAATGTAACATTGTGAATGCTTTTTCTATTTATTGTATGTTTTAGTGTGTTGTTACGGAAAGAGCGTCTTCTCAACATTACTTATACATTCTGATTAGTGCGTGACTTAAAGGAGTAATTCACTTTAAAAAAAAAACTTTTGCTGATAATTTAGTCACCGGCACCCCCATGTCATCCAAGATGTCCATGTCTTTCTTTCTTCAGTCGAAAAGAAATTAAGGTTTTTGATGAAAACATTCCAGGATTTTCTCCATATAATGGACTTCAATGGGAACCAAACGGTTCAAGGTCCAAAAGAGAGTTTCTTTAAACGACACCAGACGATGAATAAGGGTCTTATCTAGCGAAACGACCAGTCATTTTAAAAAATAAATAAAAAACTTTACGTTTTATAAGCACAAATGCTCGCCTTGCTCTCTTCTGTGACGCACGTTTGTGACTCTCCTGTTCGAACTCGTTTATCAAAATGAACAAATCTTTTTTCGTGTCGTTTGGTTCATTCAACGAACAAAATTAATTAATTGACTCGGGAAAAGATTTGTTCGTTTTGATCTGAAATCGTTTAAAGCCCTTTGAACAGTTTGCACTGAAACTGTCTTTTAGACCTTGAACCGTTTGGTTCCCATTGAAGTCCATTATATGGAGAAAATCCTGGAATGTTTTCATCAAAAACCTTCATTTCTTTTGGACTGAAGAAAGAAAGACATGGATATCTTGGATGACATGGGGGTGAGTAAATTATCAGCAAAAGTTTTTTTAAAAGTGAACTACTCCTTTAATTCACGCTTGTGGTTTTGCGTCATCTGTGTTTAAGTTGTAATATTACGTTTATGTTGCGTGTGTATACTGTATATCTGACTAAAAGGATATGATTGGGTGAGTTAATTAACACACTAACAAAGCACTTGAGCTTTAGGCTGTTCACTAGGAGCAAAGAGAGTGAGAAAGGGACCAAGAGAGCTCACAGCACCCAAGTAAACCCTTCACATTTCTAATTTGGTCCTCCGGCTAAGGGATTTATGATTAATGTCCACAAGTCACTATAATATTGTATGAATCCGTCCATGTTATGTTCCCCAAGATAAAAATAAAGTAAAGCGCTGTAAAGGTCGATTAATCACGATATTAATCATCTCAGAAGGACTCGCCAGCAGTCCGGGATCATGGAAGTCAATTTTCTTTTCTGATTTGTTAAGCAAGCTAAATAATTTAAAGACACCCAAGAGAGTAATGTTATTTTAGAGGGACTTTAAGTAAGTGTGTAAAAAAAAAACTTGCCTTCACTATACATGCAAAAAAATATTTTTCTTAATTAACATTTTTGTCCTTTTTTTTTACTATAAAATATCTACATTGTGGGAGTTGTTTACAGAGAATGTATTTCAAATTCAGGTATATTTCTTAGTAATATAGTATGTTACAATTAAGCAAGCAAGCAGGCTTGTTTTTCCCTCATTTTTCCCCTCATTTTTTGTTTGTCTCTCTCAAATACCTTGAGAGCAATTTAATACAGCGTATTATCATTAATGCTGATTAAGTGTGTCATTAGGTTCACAATCTTAATGCAGCTTCACAAGTATTTCGAATCTTGGCTCGACCAATGAAATCTTATTATTTTTTAGATTTTCACTGTGTGAAAATCCTTTCTTTTATAAGAGTGATGTTTATAATTTTGCACCATAACATCTCCTTTTATTTCATTACCAGATGAAGCAAAGCTGGAGGCATCAGGGCAACCCTTCAGTCCTTCCCGGGATCCAACCGGAGCCCCAAACATCACAGTCTCATCCTCACTATTGGAGGATGAAGACTTTGCCTCGCAGTTTCACTCCCCACCAGAGAGGGCAGAAAGCACAAGGGAGCAGCCTGTGTTCGCCTCAGTGCAGACCCTGCAGGTTGCAGAAACAGAGCCTCAAGCGCTGGTGCATTCTCTGCCCTCCCCACCCGGCAACAGTGACAATCGCACCAATCAAAAGTCCCCAGGGGAGCTGGCCGTCAGAGTGCCAAATCCAGCATCCCCGGCACAGAAAATCAACAGTGTCTTGACCACTAGCCCAGGTACCGCTCCATTATGAAGCATTGAATGAATGCTGTGTACAAAAACCAAGTGCTATATTGAAAGGTGTCTCTTTTCAGGGACTTTGGTGATTTGATGTTGTCGTCATCCCTTCTTCATCATTTGTTCATCATTATCATCAACGTCATCGTCATTTTCAAGGTCATTGTGTTTGTTGTTACCATCATCATCAACATTTTTCTTTTCAATAATCCCTTCAAAGTCAACATGAAATTGCATTCACATCCCGTTTGACTTAAAACGGTAGTTAAACAAGTGTAGGACTTCATCAGAAATGGATTGGATCGTAAAATATTAGACTGTTAATATTGTTTTGAAAGAAATGAATACTTTTATTCAGCAAGGATGCATTAAATTCATTAAAAGTTGACAGTAAAGACATTTATCATTTTACAAAAGAACATATTGATCTTTCTATTACCATTTTTGGTAACACTTTACAATACGGGTGCACTAATAAGCATTATTTCATGCTTAACTAATGCACAGATAATACTGAATTAATGTGTAACTAATGATTATCTAAGCTATTCATTAATGATTACCACATTAGGAACTAATTAAGAGTCTTTAAGGTTAATGTATTAGTTCATACATTAATTGTTTTTAAGTAAATATGTAATTGTGGATTAATTCCATAATAACTCCCATTAATTTTTTAACTAATAGTGTTAATTAATATGTTAATTACCAGAATGAGCCATGTATTCCAACTTTCAGATAATATGACAGGTACACTAATATGCATTAATATATGATTAATTACTTAATTGTTTGTGCAAATTCATGTGCAAATTACTACAATTACTAAATGACTAGTTAATAATGATGTGCCCCATCAAGTAAAGTCATAACATAATGATACCTTTGCAAATCATTAGCTAATGATTAATTAAAGCAGACAACTGGAAGTTGAAGTGCATAGCTTTGACTAATTGTGGTAATTAACACATTAATTTACACTATTAGTTAACAAAATATGTTATTAAGGAATTAATACACAATGACACATTGAATTAATAGCAATTCATGTATTACTTAATCTATTAATTATATACTCTTTATTATTTGCTGATGCAGTAATCATTAATTAATGGTTTAGTTCTTCATTAGTTATACATTAACTCATGATTATCTGTGCATTAGTTAAGCATGAATTCATGCATATTAGTGCACCCGTATTGTAAAGTGTTACCAAATTTTTCCACAGAAATATTAAGCAGCAGTGTTTTAACACTAATAATAATAAGTGTTTCTTGAGCAGCAAATCAGCATATTCGAATGATTTCTGAAGGATCGTGTAAATATGATGCTGAATGTAACGATGCTGAAAATTCAGCTTTGCCAACACAGGAATAAATAAAATGTCACAATATTACTATTTTTACTGTATTTTTTTACTGTATTTTACCCCAAACTTTCAAACAGGTAGTGTATTGGGTCGATTTTGATTTCATGTTGTTGTTTTTAAACCTGAAGAATGTAATTTTTGTGCATCCCAACTAGTCCGACACAACAAAATTGATTTTCACTGAATCTGTTTGTCAGATCAATGGGAAATAAAATCAGGTTAATCGGTTGCTTTTGGTTTGATGATTCTAGTGGCACAAAAATTACACACTTCAACAAGTCCTGCTACTGAATAATCCGAATGTGTCCTCTAGCACATGTCCTATGTGTCATTCATGTGTCCTGCTCCTGAGGTGGCTCACTCAAACGTTCTCTGCTTTCAGACGAGACCCTCAGTGAATTCCCCAGGAACCCTGATTTGCCCACCGCCTCGGGTTCATCTTTCATGCCTGTGGCAGACACAGACGCCACCCTCACTGATAATGTGACAACTTCGGTCTCCATTTCTGCTTTTAACGCCACCTCTCCTGAAAGCGCTTTAGCACACAACATCTCCCACACTGTGACCAGCGACAGTCTCCAACTCACCACAGTGACCACCACGACTGTCACACCCCTAACTGTGACATCCATGGCTGTGACTCCGCCCACCGCCGTCGTCGAGGCGAAAGAGGTCACGACCAGCATCCCGACCACAACGACCACCCAAACCACTACAACCGAGACGAAACCGCCCACAACTACAACCACCACCACAACCACTACGACAACTACCACCACCACCACAAAAGTAGTGCCTACGACCACAAAACCGCCCACAACCACTTTAGCAACTACCACAATGACAACCCCTCTTCAAACCACCGCTGTATCTACCTCTGGAAGTACCACGACTGAACTAGCCATCCCCTCTACGGACAGTGCTCCTTTGACCTGTAATGTGACCGAAAGGTTATGGGTGAAAACAGGTGAGCCCCTGTTTACTATATTAGCTTTTATCTGTATGTGTAAAGGAACTATGCCACAAATGCAGCCATAAATCTGAGCTGAATGTAATTTACATTCTATTACAGCATATTTAGCATCTCATTCAACTGAATTGTTGAAATAATATTGTACGCAAAGTGCCGCCAGTGTGTGTGAATTTACCTGCACTGAGAGTGTTTTTGCATGTGCAGTGCACTTTTTTTTTGGTCTTGATATGACTTACATGTTGCTGGCTTATTAAACAAAAATTGGGGGTTAAATATTTACGTTTTAAGTGAAACCCAGTAAGCACACCTACGTTTTTTCCAGTTACACCCATGGTTTTGTTCATGTAAATTGATTCTTTTGGGGTTTGTTCAGCATGTTTGGTTCTATTGAGGTTGGAGGATCAAATTTATTGTTTTTAAAAAGTTTCATTAGAAAAAAATATAGATTATTCTGTTGATTTTTACTCTTATATAGATAAAAAAAGGTCCAAATATAATTACAAAAATAAAATAATAAATAATATGAAAAATATACTATAATTTCACAAGAGTTGGGTAAAAAATGTTTGTTTGTGTGTTGGTTGGATGTTCTTAAATATATTTTTTATTTTTATTGTGCTTTATCATTATAGGATTTGCCCATGTCAAATGTATAAAAATTAGGGCTGTGCAAAGATTAATTGCGATTAATCACATCCAAAATAAAAGTGTTTACATAATATATTATTTGTCTGTGCTGTGTATAATTATTTTGCATACAGAAATACACACACATGCATGTATATATTTAAAAAAATGTGTTATTCATATATAAAATGTTTATATTTATATATAATATAGATGTATTTATATATAGACATTATTTACGTGCAAATAATTATTAAAGGGATACTCCACTTTTTTGGAAATAGGCGCATTTTACCACTCCTCCAGAGTTAAACAGTTGGGTTTTACTGTTTTCGAATGTATTCAGCTGATTTTTTTTTGATAGTTAGAAGAATATCAGTTACCAGACAGTTACATAGTATATTTTTTTTCCTACTATGGAAGTCAATGAGACCAGATACTGTCTGGTTACTGATATTCTTTAAAATATCAGAAAATCGGCTGAATGGATTTGAAAAAGGTACTGTAAAACTCAACTGTTTAACTCTGGGGGAGTGGTAAAATGAGCCTATTTCCAAAAAAAGTGGAGTATCCCTTTAAATATATACATGCATGAATATGTATTTATATATACAAAATAATTATACACAGCACACACACATATATTATGTATACACAAACTTTTATTTTGGATGCACAGTCGTACTTAAAATTTAATTTAATTAAAATATAATAATAAACAGCTATGGAATGATGAATAAACATGCAGTAACATTTGAAAAATAAAGCCATTTTGACATTTAAATTATGCTCAGCGTATTACAGCAGAGCCAAATGACAAAACCAATCTACTAGTGCACATATCTTATAAAAGGTGATGCAAATAATATCATGCAGTCATTTTACTCCTTTCCGACATTCTACAGTGATGGCATATGCACTGCGGTGAAGCATGTTCATGTTCACTGTAAACAGACATGTTCACAGGAATGGCTGTCTCCCTTGGGATCTGGGCTGTTTTGATGTTAGATAATTATGATATTCACAAGTGTTGTATCATTTTCCCCCCAGTGCTGTCCATCCAGATGCGGCGAAATCGCCTAGAAGCTGGAATGAGACAGAACCTGTCTAAAGGTTTAACGCATGCGCTGCAGAAAGCATTCAACGACAGCAACATCCATGTTCAGGTTGGTAGTTTTACACTGTCGGTGAATAATTAAGGGATCGGTAATGTTTTGAATGTTTTTCAAGTCTCTCATGCTCACCAAGGCTATATTTATTGGATCAAAAATACAGTAAAAACAGAAATATTAGGAAATATTATTACAATATACAATAACTTTTTTTTATTTTAAAGCAGCACTATGTCGTTTTTTTCAACCTTTATAATATTTTTACAAAACCCTTGAGATGGTACATTGACTTGCAATAGGTTGAATGACAGGTCTGCCATAGCCTGACGTGGTCTGTATCGCTTTTACTGGCACTCTGTAACTTCGGGGAGCGGGTAGGAACCCGAGCACAAAAAGAACTACAAAATTCGACTGCTTTACGGTATACATCACTTCCCCCATTTCCTCAAATTCCGACGCGAGAGCCCAACGAGGGCTTTTACTTCTGTATGTTGTCATGACTGAAGCAGCTGTAAAACCAAATGTGAAGTCCGTCAGAAACAGAGCGCGCTGGCAGTTTACTCTTGATAATGTGTTGTGTAGCTTCGTGCCCCGCTGCATCCAATATAGACTGCATTGCTATCTTTTGAGGGCAAGCAGCAAACTCGCGCCAGCTCCAGACATGAAAGTATACTGATTACTGAGTTTGGTAGGGGCTACATTCTTGCAAGTAAATAATACATGATTAGACGGACAAAATAATCGATCAGGCTGTACATCCATAATGCGAATCTCCTGTTCCACCACATGCCAAAGGTGCTCTATTGGATTGAGATCTGGTGACTGTGGAGATCATTAGAGTTTAGTGAACTCATTATCATGTTCAAGAAACCAGTTTGAGATGATTTGATCTTTGCGACATGGTGAGTTATCCTGCTGTAAGTATCCATCAGAAGATGTGTCCACTGCGGTCATAAAGCGATGCTCAGCAACAATACTCAGGTAGACTGTGGTGTTTAAACGATGCCCAATAGGTACTAAGGGGCGCAAAGTGTGCCAAGAAAATATCAAACACACCATTACACCACCAGCAACCTGAACTGTTGATACAAGGCAGGATGGATCCATGATTTCATGTTGTCTGACCCTACCATCTGAATGTCAGCAGAAATCGAGACTCATCAGACTAGGCAATTTTGGTAAATCCAAAATCTAATTTTGTTGAGCCGTTAAGAATCATATCCTTAGTTTCCTTTACTTATCTGACAGGAGTGACACCGGTGTGTTCTTCTGCTGCTGTAGCTCTTCTGCTTCAAGGTTCGACGTGTTGTGTGTTCAGAGATGCTCTTCATCAGATCTCGGTTGGAACGAGTGGATATTTGAGTTACTGTTGCCTTTCCATCAGCTCAAACCAGTCTAGCCATTCTCCTCTGACCTCTGGAATCAATAAGACATTTTCGCCCACAGAACTGCTGTTCACTGGATATTTTCATTTTTTCAGACCGTTCTCTGTAAACCCTAGATATGGTTGTGCGTGAAAAGTAGGTCAACACTTTCTGAAACACTCAGACCAGCTTGTCTGTCACCAACAACCATGCCACGTTTCCCCACTCTGATGCTCAGTTCACTTCAGCAGATCAGCTGAGCATGTCTACATACCTAAATGCATTGAGTTGCTGCCATGTGATTGGCTGATTAGAAATTTACATTAATGAGCAGTTGAACAGATGTACCTAATAGAGTGACCACCAGTATGTGTATACTGCCTAACACCAATGCATTAAACATCATGTTATCACTTGACCTCATCACATTTCATGTTTGTCCAGTGGCATCTTGGATAGAAAAAAGAAAAAAAAAAAAAAAAACAGTATTTCATGCGGTATCCAAGCCAAGCCCCTTTCTTTCTCCTTCACTGCATGTACAACACGAAATGCAAAATAAATAATGAAAAGAATAAATCGGAATAGTTTGTTGCCATTGGAAACACGGTAAAATATGACTTGTACAGTTGAATATTCAGCAGCAACAAGATAAGTGCTTTGACCGCAGTCATCTGGGATCTTATCACATTTGCATCATGGGAATTGTAGTTTAGCAGAGGACAATGTGGTGGGAGGTTGTGTGGGTGGTGTTTCCTATGTATGACCAGTGTGCAGCTCAGCACAGAGAAAGGACCGTCTTATGAAACACTTGGTTTGAAGCCTAAGGAGAATTCGCACGTCTGTCCGTCAGAACTGCACGTTCAGAAATAGCACAGCTATGCTGGAAAAAAAGAATCAATATCATGGTAACAGAACAGTAGAGACAATGTGTTGAAGGGAGGGCAGCCGACTAAATAGAGTTTTTTAAAGGAACATTTCAACCAAAAATGGACATCCTGTCATCGTTTAATCAGCCTGATGTTGTTACAAATGTCAGATGAGTTTGTAATGACATGAGGGTGAGTGAATTGTACATTTTTATTTTTGGGTGTACTGTCCCTTTAATGACGATTTACCACTGAAAAGGTTGTTATTAGCATTTGAAGTGCAACCGTGTCTATTATGCTGAGTGACTCAATCTGTTCTCTTGAAGATCTTTCTCTATAAATGTCTGTTTTGCTGTCTGTGTGATGTTTTCCTCCTCTTTCTCCTCCTCAACTGTCCATCAGATCAGAGGATCTGTATCATTACAGACCCTGGAGGTGATCAGCAGGAGACGACACAATCACTATCTACACACAAACACAGAGAGAGAGTGTGTGTTTATGTTGGAGTAAAAAGAGAGAGATGGTCAGTCAGCTTGGCTCAATATGATGAAATTTATTCATGTGGGATTTGTATTAGCATTGGCCTCAAGCGCTTAACAATAAACAAAGCCAGTAAGAGCATTTGTGTGAATTTAGGACAATAATATGAATTCAGAGAGGCATATGTAAACATTATATGCACTTTTCATACACTCAACCTGCATACATTCTTATACATGCTATTCACGTCATTTTACATCACCTGTGTTCTCTCTAGTTGGAAAGAGATATCTGCACGCCGTCTAATGTGACTGTGGGCTACTACGTCTCGAGAGGGAAGACCGTGTTGGTGGCCTCCATTGTAATAGACACCTTATCTACCTATGGCTTTGACAAGCTTTTGCATGACATCAGAGAGTATGTTCCTGTGTTGTTGGCCGTCCCAAATCCAGTGACCCCCTGGCTGCCCAGCCTCGGCATCCACCTGCAGCTCAAAACGGGTGAGATTCTTTTCCATTGGGAGATTGTTGGGAAATCTAGGACTGGAAATCATCTGTCGTTTGTTAAATATGAAAAATTCTCAAGAGGTTTTATAGACCATTTTGCAAGATGTAAACACTTTTTCAGTTTGTAAATGGTTTCTTTATTTCAAATGTAAAGAAAACATCTTAAAGATGTGTGTTTAACTTTTTGATTCAGTTGCATATGTTCTGTTGGTTGCATTTTATTACAACGTTTTTGCACTGTTAAAAAACTGAAACAAGAAGTGCTTCTGGACCAGTGTTGTTTACATCTCGCAAAATGGTCTATACATGAGTCTCTTCGCTTAACCTTTTTCACATTACAAAAATCATGTGTCGTGTGAAAAAGTTATTATTCTTCTGAGACTAAAATTTTTGAGTCTTAACTCGTCCTAGAGCTTTACTTACTCTAACCACCACCACACTCGGGTCAGACTGTTCTGACTTAGTGTGCTATATCTTTTTGATCTTGCAACATGCTAAATCTTGTTAGCAATGTGCTAAATCACGTTAGCGACATGTTAAAATATGCTAATTCAAGCTAGCATTGTGCTAATTCATGTTAGCAGTGTGTTAAAATATGTTAGCAATGTGCCAATTCTTGTTAGCAATGTGCAAAAAAATGCTAATTCATGCTAATAATGTGCTAATTCATGCTAGTAATGTGCAAAAACATGCTAAAACTAGTTCAAACCGAAAACCTTTGAAAACCAAAGCTTTCTAGTCAGGCTTTTTCATGCCAGCTTGTAAGTTTTTCTAGACAAACTTTAGTTTTATCTAGGTAACTAGAATGGAAACTGGTGTGTTTGGTTAAAAGTTTTCTTTTTTTCTTCTGCATATAGTTCTCAGATTTGTCGGGCCAACAGATGACATCAAGTCTTGCGTGTTCATCCAAATGATGGAGCAAAGATTGGAAAATGTGTTTGCTGAGGCTCAGGAGAAAGTGGAGGACTCTTATGGGACTCTTTCTGTTGAGGTATTTTTTCAATTGAACTTGAAAACAAAGTATGATAAATGGCTTAACTTCAGAGGCCTGATAACACCGTCCCTCTGTTGGATTTGGATTTTATAGTTTCTTTGTGTTTTCTGACAGATTCTGAACTCATATCAAACCGGGAATTCATTGGCAGTCACTCTGGTGTATGTGGTGTGGAACGGCAGCACTCCGTTGAACGGTACTGTGTCCAGCGGACTCCTTAACCAGCTCACTGCCGAGCTGGTGGGCTACTTCCTCTTCTTCCCCCCTCTGATCATCGCTGAGCGTAAGTTCCAGCTTGTGTTTACTGCTTGATGTTACTTTTACTTTCGTGTTTTTCATGTCAGTGCACAAATGGGAGTTCATGTTTATTTCTGTTTGAATCCATGAGCTTTCCTTAATCTTCAGTTTTGATTGGTCTAGAAGACATTTTCCAAGGATGCATACGCATTCTCCTTTTTTTGATGGGTAGTTGATGTGAAACACACTTTTGGGAAGTTGACATGTTCTGCTGTGCAACATGCTATACTCAATCTAAAAGTATTTTAAACAGATATGCTATGCTTTTTAACTGATAAGAGATTACTATTAGAGTATTTGTTAAATCTTGTATAAAACATATTTAGGCCTAATTACAAACTACCTACGAGGTTATTTATTTGGGTATAGCACACGCCTTTGGTAGAATTCAAATGAGCCATTTTAATCTAGATTAAAAATTATTAGTCACCACAGGACTATCTGGATACACCGAATATGGAACAGATACCAATAACTGATAATTATTATATTTTGAAGCTGATAACTAGTATATTGGAGGATAATAATTTTGTGAGAATGATTATGAAAAAAATCAAGAAAGTCCAGATGTGATATCTAATGTCATGTAGAGTAGATGCATATTAATTTGTGATTATTAATTGTTTTTAATATAATGTATAACTATCCATCTATCTAATCGATATATACTCCCACACAAACACAATATTTTTATGTTAGTATGTATTCAATTAAAAATGTATGATTTTAAAAGATTAAAATTGTATTCAATATTTGAAAAAAAAATCACAAATATAACAAGTAATGAAGAAACAAAATTCATGTATGCTATGGATACAAAAAAATATGAATATTTTTTAAATGATATATTACTGGCTCTCAGTAACATTTTATTTTAAGTAGGCTATGGGTCGTTTAACTCTAATTTATCAGCATCTTCTACATATACAGTACGTAAGACTGATATGATAACAACATTAAATTACCCAGAGTAAATGATGACAGAATTGTTCCCAGAATGGTTTTCTAGTAAACATCCATCTCTCTTTACCACTTTTTTCACAGCTCTAGAGTACCACAACCTTAACACTTCAGTAGCAACTCGAGATTACTGGGTAATCACAGGTAATTACCCTTACATTTCAGCTGCTAACTAGCACCCAGACAGCTATTTGCCAGCATGTGTTATGTGAGTAAGCCTAGCTAATGTTTTCCCCCCTTCTTTTAAACTCAGAGAGCCTTCTTTTTTTTTTTTTTGAGGACAGCTATTGATGTATTATTTAGCTTCCCCCATCAACTGATTTGGAGAGATCACATTTGATCAGAATATTGAGCATGAAAAAGCTATTTCTAGCTTTAAGTTCTTGCACTCAATGTTCTTTCTGTTGCCTTAGCTAGCTCTTCCTCTCTCTCTCTCTATTTTACCCAAGAGAACAAATCCTTTTTACCAAGGTCAATTCCATAGTAATTGCAGTTTTTTAGATTCAAAGTGTAAGAAAGGTAAGTTCTCTTTTTCACCTTGCTTCATCTCTCTCTCTCTCTCTCCAGTAATTCAGGACGTTGACAGCTCTTCTCTTGAAGGGAGTTATCAGAGCTTTGCAAGTCTAATGGAACAGCGGCTGGCAGAACTCTTTCTGGTTGCCAGTCGACACGGCCTCCGCTTCAGGCGAGCCACGACTGTAGGCGATTACACTGTCCAGGTGTGCCGTCAATTTTTTCTTTGTAATTTTAGCAGTTTTTGAGGAAAAAAAAAACAAATATATTGATTATTCATCCTTCACAGGTTTTTGTCCAATCAAATGCTCTAAAATGAGAAAGTTCCTCCCCAAAACAACCTGCAACCAATTAGCTAAACATATTAAAGAAAAAAAAACTTTTGCTGATAATTTACTCACCCCCATGTCATCCGAGATATTCATGTCATTCTTTCTTCAGTCGAAAAGAAATTAAGGTTTTTGATGAAAACATTCCAGGATTTTTCTCCATATAATGCACTTCACTGGGAACCAAATGGTTCAATGTCCAAACGGCAGTTTCTGTGCAAACTGTTCAAAAGGCTTTAAATGATTCCAGACGATGAATACGGGTCTTATCAAGCGAAACGATCGCTCATTTCATAAATAAATAACAAAGTTTAAGTTTTATAAGCTCAAATGGTTGCCTTCCTCTGTTCTGTGATGCACGTTTGTGACTCTCCTGTTCGAATTTGTTCATCAAAATGAACAAATCTTTTTCCGAGTCGTTTGGTTCATTCAACGAACGAAACAAACGAATTGACTCGGAAAAAGATTCTTTCATTTTGATGAACAAATTCGAACAGGAGAGTCACACCGAACAGAGGAAGGCGAGCATTTGAGCTTATAAAACTTAAACTTTGTTATTATTTTGATAGTTTCGCTTGATAAGACCCTTATTCATCGTCTGGAATCGTTTAAAGCCCTTTGAACAGTTTGCAGTTTGCACTGAAACTGTCTTTTGGACCTTGAACCGTTTGGTTCCCATTGAAGTCCATTAAATGGAGAAAAATGCTGGAATGTTTTCATCAAAAACCTTAATTTTTTTTCGACTGAAGAAAGAAAGACATGGACATCATGGATGAAATGACATGGGGGTGAGTAAATTATCAGCAAAAGTTTTTTTAAAAGTGAACTACTCCTTTAATGACTGCAATGAAACTAAGGCCTGTTTGTTTTTTAAAAGGGGAAAGTGGATTATGTTACTCACTTTGCATCCAAAGAGGTTAGCCAATCATAAATGAGATCATTCGCATATAGATGTATGTTTGGTGCAAATACATTACACTGTATTATGTGGAATGCAAGGAAAAAATGCTATGAAAGTGTATAGGCAGGTTAAAATCGAAATTTGGCCAATGTTTGATTCAATTTAGGTTTTAGATTTAGGCTAGTTGCTGAAGTTTGTGTTGGAAATGTCAAACATTAACTCGGGAGTGTTTTCCTCATACAGATGGTCAGTATCCGACGACTGACTGGTCCCAAAAACTCAGCTGAAATGACGTACTACGTACAAGTAGATGGATCTCCCATAACTGGCACTACTGCGGCCAAGACCCTCAACACAGTGGACTCTCAGACCATGGCTCTCACTCTTGGATACTTCGTCCAGATTCAAGCAGAGGGTATGTATATATTTTACTCATTTAGCCCTGTTTCTTTCCAAACCATCAATTAGTTTCTTTTATATACGCAGGAAAACCTAGGAGTGTTTACTGTAAATCCGATAAAGTGTCAACTATGTTTGCATTGCATTACTTTTCCAAATGAAGTCTATAGCTAACTCGCACTACGCTAGAGAAACCGCAGGGGATTTGGGTGTAGAGAGTTTACACAAGTTTACTGAGCTCTCAACTGGGGCATCAAGCCCAGTTTGTCAGCCTGAGAAGAGCAAAGCCCCAGTTTTGTATGAATAAAACACAATCAGACCCAGCAGTGGGGGTTTAATCTCCCAGATAAGCGCTACAGCCGAAAGACAGATTCAGCTCATTAGGAGCTAACCATAGACAGTAGGAGACAGAGGGGTGTTGGATTACTGTACGAGAGTGTGCTGGAGATGCAAGTGGCGGAAATCATGTGCAAACATTGTGACTGAGTTTATTAATTTCCAATGTATGTCTGTGTTTGTGTGTAAACAGCGGTGGTGAAGAGTCTGCCTAGTAACCTCTGGACATTGGCTGTCCTGATACCCGTATCAGTTGTGATGGTCGTGGTGGTCATGGCGGTTGCGATCTTGTGCAGGAGAAACCGAACCGTCTTCAAGACCAGCGCGTTTCGCAATTTCCACAGCCGCACTAAGGTAGGCTCATTCAGACCATGACTCTTCAAATCATCACTGTCTTGTCAAAACGGGGGCCGGTTATGTCAGCATCATGTTTTTAAATCCAATTAATATTAAATATGACTTTATAAGGAAGTCCTGTAACAATGGGTCTCATTCACTTACACACCACTTTTAAAATTCTCACATGGAGAAGCTGATAATTGGTTTCATTTGGTTTATAACCGATGAATGGTTCATATTAAAATTCTGTACTATTTTCTCTAAATAGATTAAAAATAAAACACTATATATATATATATATAAACAATGTAATTGGCTTTTTTTATTATTTTAGCATAGTAAATTGTATTTTCTATATATAACAAAAATATATTATTTTACATTAATAAAGTATATTTATATATAAACAATCTGTACTTATGTGCAAAAAACATTTGTCCCATAAAAAACTCTGATTCGTGTGTGAGTTTGTTTTTTTCTCAATATTAATGATGAATCAGGACTGTTTTAAATGAGTCAATGAGACCCGTTGTGATGTCATACAGATGATGACAACCAACAGACTTAAAATATCCTGCTTTCCTTCATACCATTCACAAAATAACTTTGTTTTCCATCTTATTTCTGAATATGGTGCTAGACGATTTAAAATGGTGGGCTGTTCCTCAAACACTTTGTGTTGTCACCACACACGAGACGTGCTGTTTAAAACATTGGAATGAAAAATTTCACTTTGACTCCCACAAAATATCCCTCCAATTGTGTCTTCACTACTCTTCCTGTCTAGACCTCATATCGAAGAGATGGGAGTTATCACCACCAGGTATTTTCTGGCTTGTTCAACCTCGTGGCTGCATGCTTTCAGTCCAAACATTCTTCTTGTTGACTGTGCTTGTGGGAAATCGGTCCTCAGGGGGAAGGGAAACAGAAGGTTATCTATCCTCTGCATAATCAAAGAACCGTTCAGTAAGATCTAGTGCCTTGAGGATATCTTTGATCTGAACAGCACAAATATCTCCTCTCTTGTACCTCCATTTGAGATTGCAGGACAGTGTCTAATAACAGAATGGGAAGGAGTTAAAGTATTACCACAGTATTACTGTATTATGATTTCTTTGTTGTGGTTGCATTATGGGGCTTTTAAATAGATACAGGCCAAATGCAGGGTAATAAATTAGGCCACCCCAAGCTGAGAGATATGCCAAGGTTACATATATGAATAATTAGGTGAAGTTTAAGTAGATTACCAGGACTTTTCCATCTAAAACAGGATAAATTAAATCACCCAACAGGAATGAGCTATAGGATGTGTGCAAATGTATATATTATACATTACCGTTTAAAAGTTTAGGGGCATTACCATTTTTTTTTTCAAAGATATTAATACTTTTATTCGGCAAGGATGTATTAAATTAATCAAAAGTGAGAGTAAAGACATATATAATGTTTTATTTTAAATAAATGTTGTTCTTTTGAACTTTCTATTCTTCTAAAAAATGAAATCACATTGTATGCGACAACTGTTTTCAACATTGATAATAACAAGAAATGTCTTTTTGAGATTAGAATTAAAATGATTTCTGAAAGATCACTGAATGACACTGAAGACTGGAATAATGATGCTAAAATATATATATTAAAGTAGAAAACAGTTCTTTTAAATGGTAATGATATTTCACAATATGACCAAAACTTAAAGTTATAAAATGTCTTCAGAAGACATGGAATGTAATGCACAATTCATATAAACAATCAGATGGTCACCTTTCACTTTCATTTCGACATGTCATAAGGTCATAGACCATGAGTGTGAGTAAATGATGACGGTATTTTCCTCTTTGGATGATCTATCCCTGTAGTATAATGGTATTGTTTTTAGTAATGGAATAAAACAATATGCAAATCAATTGCAATTATGATAATCGTCTCTTTGATCGTACTCCCTCTTAGCCGTGTTCTCTGATCTGAAAACATTCCCTGCTCCGTCCAATTAAGATGTCCTTTCAGGAACATGATTTTGCTTATGCACGGTAATTTACGGATCAGCGTATAAAGCGTTCCGGTTTCACACAAGAGTTTCCTGTGTTAGCGCAGGGAATTAGAGGAGGTGTGTAAAGATACCAGCACTGATGATTCGTCAGGCTCAGACGTGATCAATCGCATGTGTGTCTGCTGCTTGCCTGCTTTTTGCTTCTACTTGTCGTTGTGTTTGAGCAGCCCTCGCATGTTTTCCTTACTTGTTTGTACAACAGTGTGAGGAAGGTCAATGCACATCCTGTGCAAGACTTACAATCAGGACTCAACGTCTCTACCCTTAAATCAAATTGAACTTGGATTGAAATAAGATTTACTCCTCTTAAATACAATGGGATGACGCACAAGTGAATTATAGTTCAGCTGAGCATGTGAATTATATTTGAGTTGGACCTCATTTAAGGTCAATGTCCAATACAGAACATCCAGGGTGATGATATTAAAGGGATAGTTCACTTTGAAATAAATTTTTGTTTAATAATAAATGTTAAGAATAAATGTTTAAGCTAACCTCAAGGGCATCCAAGATGTAGGTGTCTTTGTTTCCACAGTATTTTCAATTTTGATATTTTTAGGTCAAACAATGCAAGTCTATGGTCACCACCTCAAAGAGCATGCACAGAGAAGTCCAAATTAAACATGATTTAATGACTCGTAAATGTAAGAACACGTTGATGGCCTAAGACACGAAACGAGCGGTTTGTGTGAGAAAACGAACAGTATTTAAATCGTTTTTACCTCTTGTTACACTTGGACGTGGCTGTGGTTATCAGAGTTAAAAACGATATAAATACTGTTCGTTTTCTCACACAAACCGCTCGTTTCGTGTCTTAGGCCATCAACGTGTACTTATATTTACAAGTCATTAAATCATGTTTAATTTGGACTTCTCTGTGCATGCTCTTTGAGGTGGTGACCATAGACATCCATTATATGACTGACAGACACGAACGGTTTGACCGAAAAATGTCACAATTGAAACTACTGCGGAAACAAAGACACCTACATCTTGGATGCCCTTGAGGTAAGCTAAAACATACCAAAAATGTATTTCAAAGTGAACTATCCCTTTAAAATTACACATTTTAGATACAAAATTATACACCTCACTAAAGGATCTTGTAGATGTGACAGCACCATGTGCAAAGTGCAGCGTCGCATGAATTATTAATTGAATTAATCACACATTTTCCCCATTTACATCATAACAGCAACGCCCTCTGACACCTTTTTAAGATCCAGAAGGCACCCTGCCTCCGTTCGCCCTGTTCCGCAGGAGATTGATCCATAATTCATTAAAACGAGGGGCTCCATAGCTCTTCCGTATTAAATATCCCATGGTAACTTGATGCATCGTATGCGGGCTCCATAAAATATAGTTTGACTCAAAGTACCTTCAGCTCATGAATAAATTAGGATGGCCGGCATTCCTTTGCTGATTGAAACGAAACGCTGGATGTTGCATTGTGTAACTCTTACTTTCTTCTCCACCATCCAATCACGGCGCATCATTTCCCGTCCAGCCCGTGCAGGGTTTCGACTACGCCAAGAAGCACATGGGCCGGCCAGGTGAGGAGGCTCTCACAGTCACCAAGGAAACACTTGTCCTAGCCCTACCGGTACGGGACGCCCCTCTCACACAAGACAGGGTGGCGGTGTTACAAGATGGTACAGCTTCAAAAAGACCCCAGTCGACCGAGATGCATCTCAGGTGAGTGCTTTAATTATAGAACAAAGAAGCACTACATTTTTAGACTTACCAAATGGAATAAGCTAGTATGATAGTATATCGCTCAACTCTCTATAGAGGCTTGAAAGCCTGAACGTCATCCATTTTTAAAAGCCATCCCAGCCGATATGACCACAATGCTCTATTTAAGTTGCATTTCTTATCACATTCTGCTGAAAAATCAAGTACACCTCAAGTATGACGTATAATTACTAGTGAGCGGATAGAGCTCTTGACTTTAAGACGCACTAAGACATTGTGGAGGGAAGAAGAAAGTACACCGTGTGCTTAGGAACAAAGACATGGTTCTTTTGACGTATATTTATAGAATCTAAATCAAGAAAGACAGACGTGCCACAAAAATAGCCCCAATGCCAACATCTGCCTGGTGCACTGTATGATTTTGGTCATGATTTTGTCCAAGAAGTAGAAATAATATATATACTTTGTTCACACTGCAGGCTGAAACGACCTAATTCCGATTTTTTTGCCCCTATGCGACCTGTATCTGATTTTTTCATGACAGTCTGAACGACACAGATCCGATCTTTTCAAATGCGACCCAGGCCACTTGGGTATGTGGTTCAAATCCGATATGTATCCGATCTTTTGAAATGCGACTTCAATCTGAACGGCCAGGTCACATATATCCGACCCGCACGTCATTGCACGCACCTGTAGCTAGCCAATACACGCTAACTCCAACGCGTTTCTGCACTGACTGTTATGGGCCGCTGCAGACGTGTCTCTTTCCCAGTGTTGTGCCTGAACGCGTTCATATACTGTATTACTGCCTGATGAACATTACTGTGAACACGTTCATTCTGGTGTCTGTGAACGTGCGCTCTCTCTCAGTATAACTTTGGGTGCCAGATTGATTTCTATAGAGACTTCCAGGCGAAAACCTGGCTAAAACACATGTAAACATGCTTTAAAATGTAGCGAAAAAACACCCAATCTGGCAACACCAGCCACCAGTGTCGCACCGCGGCCGCAGGTGACAAAGCAAGGAGCGCCGAGGACGCGCACTATCAATTAAACGGGGTTTATGACGAGCCTCGGTGAGGATCGGAAAAATCTTACATTTATGTGCAAACTTTGCCCGTCGATAAAATAATTGTTGTCTGTGTTTGTATATGGGCTGTGGCAATAATAATAATAAAACAAAAGCTCGCAACATATGGAAAAAAAGGACTATTCCGCAAAAAACAAGTGACGTCGTTGACCGTTGATTAATTTTCTGCGCATGCGGGTCACTTCTGGGTCATTTCATGTGAAATGTGAACGGCCTTGCAAAAAAATCAAATTTTTTCAAAAAATCGGAATTGAGCATTAAGCCCTGCAGTGTGAACGTAGCCAATGTCAGTGCCATTGTTTTGTCTCAAGCCAAGCTACTTAAAGCTACACTGTGTAACTCTTTTAGCTAAAAACACTTGGTTCTTTCAAAAATATATGTGCTCATTAATGTATATTTACTTCGTTCAAGTAATACAGTATTCTCGTGAGTGTATAATATGCCATTGAAAATACATACGGGTAAGGTCGCCATGTTGCCCCTCCATCTTGAAAGTACATTAGCCAAAGAGGGACATACCCGCTAATTCAAGCTTCGCCTTTCGCGTTTATGTTTGAGTTAACACTCGAACTGGAAGCCATGTTAATCTTGGACTACATTGGCCACCGTAGGAGTTAAAACGAAATCGGAATTGAGAGGAACAGAAACTAATATTCACTGGATGGTCAACTAGATGGGGGTAAAAATCACACAGTGTGGCTTTAAATACCCTAATTGAACTAAGGCCTAATCCTGGCTTAATCTAAGCCCTGTCTGTGAAACCGGGCCCTTAAATTTATTCTGAAAAATTAGCAATCCACAAACTTTTCTTTGGAAAAGACAGTTTATTTGATCCTAACTAATATGTATATATTGTATGCAGACACAAGACCATCACTCAAGATTACTTAAGTCATACCGTACAAGCAAAAAATGTTAAGGACAGATCAAATCGTGCAGTATGCACCAGGTTTCGGTTTTGTGTTTTTCTTTGTCCTCGATGCTTCAGAGAAATGTCTTTCTTCACAAAGAGCAAAACCTCCCAAGGTTCTTTTCACATCCTGCTAAAAATGCAAATGAAAGACAGTAGGAAATGTATCAGTGTTCAGCTCGCACGACGGTCTCGTCGCAAAACAACACTTCAAGGTCATTAAAACCCACCATCCGCACATCTCCAGGCTTACTTAACCACTCTCTGCGGGCCGCGGGATCGTAAATATGCCTTAATGTCGTACGCGGGACAATGCGACAGAGCAAAGAGCACCGATCCTTGAAATCGTTGCAGTGTGGCTAAAGCGTTTCTCCTCTTTTTCCTCTCTCTCTTTTTGTTTTTCCTTCTCTTGCTCTTTTTCTATTAGACTCCGTGCTTATTAACTGGAATACAAATGTATTCTGCCGTTTGTTATCTCTCCTGAGTGGCATGATTAAAGGGAAATGAGCCTGCAGAGAGCAGAGCTGGGGAAATAATTATTTGGAAAGTAAATGTGGTGAATACATGAGCATTTAAACCTGGCAGAGAGACAGATGCATGCAGGGAAGATAAGTACGCTCACAGCTCCAGAATCATGTATGATTCAGTGTGCCCATAGGCAGCTTGGCCAACGCATCGCCGCTCTCTTCTGCCCGACTGTGTCAGACCCAGAAGACGTGCGTGTGTTCGTGCGGCAGGGCTGGGCGTTATGTGCATGGCAGATTGTTGGCACGCATGCCTGAGAGATTAGCTGATTTAATGTAATATTCATATGTTGTTGACTGTGCTTTATTATCTCCTTCTTAGAGAGAGATGGGTTTTCGGTGTAAGCGTTTATTTTGTGATGTGAAAATGAAATATTTCTCGTTTATAGTTCCCTGAACTTTATGGATCTTATTATATGCAATTGAATTATAAAAATCAATGTGGACCCCATTTTCAACTTTATTTCGGCGTAAAATGAGAGATATGTAAGTCTGTACAAATGTAGTTTAATATATATAAATATATAATTGTTTAAAATAATGTGTACAACATATATACATAGATTAGTGCTGTCAAATCGACAAATCAAAAAGTAAATCGAAAAGTTAAAATTACATATGTATACACACACACACATATTTACACAGTTTTATGTTAGATGCGATTAAAGGGATATAGTTCACTTTGAAATTCCTCTTGTGGTTACAAGAGGTAAAAACAATATAAATACTGTTCGTTTTCTCACACAAACCGCTTGTTTCGTGTCTTAGGCCATCAATGTGTACTTACATTTACGAGTCATTAAATCATGTTTAATTTGAACTTCTCTGTGCATGCTCTTTGAGGTGGTGACCATAGACCTCCATTATATGACTGATAGACAAGAACGGTTTGACCTAAAAATATCAAAATTGAAAATACTGTGGAAACAAAGACACCTACATCTTGGATGCCCTTGAGGTAAGCTAAAACATATCAAAAATTAATTTCAAAGTGAACTATCCCTTAAATAGCGATTAATCGTTTTGACATCACTAATATTAGTTAGTGACATCACTTATGTTAGTATATAATATATATGACTTTAAGCATGAATTTATACATATATAGTACAATACATATCAATATATATTAGGCTATATAAGTATGTTTAAAAGTAAGTATTCAAATTTTAACTTAAATAATATAAATGTTTTAAATAATGCGTGTGTGTCTATATAATATTATATATACTGTACATATATCAAATTCATTTAGACCGTGACTCGTTCACACTAATAAAAGAAATAAAGTAAATTTGGTCAGTTTTGATTTCAAATTCATTTCACAATCTGTTTAAATTAGATTGCATTTCACCTGATATAGGTCTCTTGGGACCAGTTCAGTTTCTTCATCATTTTTATTATATATCATTAAGTCAGCTTAAAATTTTCTTCATTCTAGCAAGTCGAATGTTGAGGTGAAATGCTTACCACATTCTATCCAGTAGTGATGCCTTTCAACTCTCGCCGGCACATGATATGCATTCTGATATGTTGTCCGTGGTGTTGTCTCATTGTGCATGGTGGTTGTTACAGAGCAGGATGTCCTGCTGTTGTTGAACATTTGTTTAAATGACACAAAACATGATGAGTGGATGCTCACCCTACGGTGATGTCTGCTAAATGACATTACTGCAACGCAGGTTAACAGAGGCCAGAGGGTCCTGCAAGGCGACGGTTAACCCTGCATCACACTGCATGCAACAAACTAACCATTGCCTCTGTTGCCATGGCTACCCGCAGCAGGTTGCCAAGCGAGGACGGCTCTGTTTCCAGCAATGAATCCGGGAAGCTGAACACGGGCAGAAGCTCCACAGCTCGGAGATCGACGGTACAGAAAGCGCCCAAAGAAGAGCAACACACGAGAAATGGTGAGAAAGACGGAAGTAAAAGGAGCACCAAAATTCTCATTCCTAATCATAATGGTCTTATAAGAGTGTTGGTTTTAATTCATTGACAAAAATAAAATAAAATAAAATAAAACAAAAATAAAATTACTTGTTTTCCAGTAGAATGTAATGTAATAATAAAACATAAGCATCATTAAAAAAGATAAATTATTGTAGAAGTAAAAGGGGAAAAAGATCCTAAAGAAGAAATATATCCTATACAAGAGCTTATTATTTAAGTCCTTTCATGAGAACTTAAATAATAAACATTTGTACAATTACAAACATTTATAAATAATACAAAAATATTATATTATATTTATATTATTACACTAAATTGTGTCCAATCTTTAAATATTATGCCACTTTGCTTCTCAAATAAATATTACAATAGATATTTTTGCTTTGCATTGCTTTGATTCACTTAGCTTTGAAAAAACTAGTGTTGAAACTATTAATATGTATTTCTTTCCCATAAATAGTTTATTAAAGGTTTTATAAGTGTATAAGGTCTTAAAATAGCACTACAGTAACATTATTTTTATAACATGTTTAGATATGCTGTCCAACAAGGAGCTTTGCCAGCCAAGATATCTCCCACTAAATCCCCAAACCCATATAAAATTGATTGTTCAATATATTCTGCACCAGCGACTAAAATCACGCTCTTTTTGAGTGTTTACAGCCGCACTCTTTACTGATCCCCCTTTTACCCTCCTACTGTAATTTTGTGATTGCATTGGTCTCCTGTGACTTTTTGCAGACCATTATGATTCTCTAACTGGCTCTCTACGCCTCATCACCATCAAGCCTATGTCTGCCCCACTCAACTATTCTTATCCCGACTCCTCCAATCACAGCCAAGACTCTGTCATCCTGAACGGAGAGGTGAGTTTGCTGTCACCATGGAGATGGGGCCACCTCATTAGGAGGCTTTTATTGTTGATTTATTTTTACATGTGCTGAGTGCTTGTCAACAGAAACTTACTGTTTCCCCGCACAGAATCTGTTCAATAGATTGTCCCTGCAAGATCAGCAAAAAAAAAAAATTCTATTTGAACTGATTTATGAACTGCTGAGTTGCACAAAATGGGAGCAAATAAATATCATCAGCTTTTCACCTGCAGGTCAACATGGGGCTGAAGCAGAAGTCGGACATTGAGCATTACCGTAATAAGCTGAGGTTGAAAGCTAAAAGGAAAGGTTACAGTGATGGGCCGGTCACCAGCAGCAGCGGGAGCGGCAGCGGTCACATGTACAGTCATCGAGACAGGCTGAGACGTGAGAACGCTTCCTTGGACTTGGAAGATCTGAGGGGGCCGAAGGAGGACAGGAAACCCTCCACTTACGTAAAGTACCGCAGGAGGTAGGAGGAGATTAAATCCCTGCTATTACTCATCCCAAAATATTTAGAGAAAATGAAACCAGTTGCGTGTTCCTAGATACAGAATATGCACTAAAATCATGGGGGTGAATTTACCAAACAGTTGAGGAACTTTTACACTTATTCCATCAATTTTAAAATAAGAGTTTGTGTTGATATACTATATTATTTTATGTACATATTTTATATATATATGTATGTGTATATATATATATTAGGGCTGTGCAAAAATTAATTTGTAATTTGTAAACACAGACTTTTATTTTGGATGTGATTAATCGCATCCAAAATAAAAGTCTGTGTTTACATAATATATTTGTGTGTGCTGTATATAATTATTTTGTATATATAAATACCTATGCATGCATGTATATATTTAAGAATTATTTGCGCTTAAATTCTGTATATGTAAATAAATACATAATCTATATTATATAAATATAAATATTTTATATATGAATAACACATTTTCTTAAATATATACTGTACATGCATGTGTGTGTATTTATATATACAAAATAATTATATACAGCACACACATCTATATTTTGTAAACACAAACTTTATTTTGGATGCGATTAATCGCAATTAATTTTTGCACAGCCCTAATATATATATATATATATGTGTGTGTGTAAGCAATAAGGTACAAGAGGCTGTGCTGTATTGTGAATAAGTAACGGCTGAAGGGCGTTGTTAGGCACGATGCGAAGCGGAGTAACCCCTTCAGCCGTTACTTATTCACGATACAGCACTTGCCTCGAGTACCTTATTGCGTTTATAAAACAGTTATCACACAATAAAAATATTAAAGTTAAAAAAAAATATGTATTAGTGCAACTTTCATGAAGTAAAATACTAAAAGCCTTCCTTCCGCTAGAAAAAAAATAGTCCCTGACCGTGAACAGCAACAACGTTCCAATGTGTAATATTCATGAAATCTCAAATAAAAACAACAAAGGAACTGCAGTTTTGCGCAGTGATAAATAGAACCGTTGGGTGAAGCGGTCATAACCGTGTTTTATCATGAATAAAGCACTACTTACCAATCAGAATCAAGAATTGGAACTAACCCTTTTATACAAACACTTTTATATATATATATTAGTATGCAAGTACATATATAATGAAAGATTTGTCAATTTATTAATTCATATATGCAACAAAATGTCATGCAAAAGGTTGGTTTCTGAGATTTTTTTGTCAAAATGTTCCATGCTCACCAAGGCTGCATGCAATGGATTTGATCAAAAATACAGTCAAAACTGTAATAATAACATATTGTAACGGTAATAATAACAGCTTTCTATTTTAATATTTTAAAATATAACTTATTCCTGTGATGCAAACTAAATTTGCTGATTTGATGCTCAAGAAACATTTATTATTATTCAATGTATTATTCAATATTGAAAAGCTACATTTGACCACGATTCAATTATTTGATGAATAGAAAGTCTAAAAGAACAGAATTACTTAAAAAACAAACTATACTGTAGTATAGTATAATATAATATACACTGTTAAAATGAATGTGCTTTATCTAATCAAAAATTGTGGCAACAGATTACAAGCAAAATTATTAATTAAATTTAACAAATTAGAATTGAGTAATAATTAATCAAATTAATTCCTTAAAAGTTAACCATTTAAAATGAGTTAAACTTACAACAACAACCAAAAAAGAATTGAATAAATTGAAGTCACCATTATGGTGATCAGTGTTTGTTTTAGGTTTGTTTTAAAATGACGGTTTTCTCCTTCAGTGATTCTGCTTGTTAACATCGGGTGTCTTCAATGTTGGCAATATAAAATAAAGAGTTCTTAATTAATCTCTGACGTCTGTCTGTTAGTGAGATATTTTTGTTATTTTTTTGGTGTAAACTTTACTCATTTTAAATGGTTAACTTTTAAGGAATAATTTGATTAATTATTACTCAATTCTAATTTGTTAAATGTAATTAATAATATTGCTTGTGTTCTGTTGCCACAATTCTATTCATTAGATAAAGCATATTCATTTTTACAGTGTACTGTATATAGAGTATATGTTTTTATCTTTGTGCCATTGCATAATTGTTGCATACTTCCTTTTATTGAATTGCGTACTAAAACAACACAGATGATCCAAATAAACAACACTATTAATTCTTAGTAAATTCCCCCTGTGGCATGAACGAAGATCTCTTTAAAGCTCTTCTCCGAAAACAGAGAGCACATAATGTTTGGACATTAATATTTCATTGTGTATACAGCTAAAAATAAAGCATTATGTAAAATGAACCGTGACTTCCATAACCATATGTCGGTTCGTAAGATCACAACACTGAATTTTTTTAACATTCTCTCCCCAGTGACTCCCACAGGGAACCTGCATATTGGAGCAGGCAGTCTCTGAACACCCCGAGCCCTGTAGAGACAGAGATGGACATGCTGGTCATGAGGGAGCGATCCAGGAGGGGTATCCGCAACAGTGGCTACGATGTAAGCTCTCCAGCCTGTTGCATCATGGGACCCCAAATCCCTGATATAAAGTCTTCTGCTGTAGTCTTTCCGCACGGCGAGTCATTCACAGTTCAGGGAGCCGGCAGAGATTACTTTTACTTTAATGACTATCAGCTCAAGTTTCCTTCAAGGCTTAAATGAAGGCGATTACCTTTTGGGTAACTTTAAACCCGGATATGACGGAAGGGAGCTTGAGATGATGGTAAGCCTAGCCGATGGACTGACCCTGTATTTTTAATAACGGACGTCATCATGAAACAGCAGAACGTCATTGAGCTTAATTATGATTATGGTGTTTTTTGTGATTTAGATTTGAAATTCGATGTCGGATAATAACCGTGAATGTGCTGGGCTTTTCAGAGTTTTCAGATAATATTTGCAACACAAGTGAGATCAGGGCTATTTACACCGCGTTTAGTTTAACCCTATGTTATCACTGTTGTAGTTATGCGACTTTGAAACCTGAGGTGAAATATTTGTCATTTAATGTCTATTGAATCCACCCCAGGGTGAGCCTGAACCATTTGAAGAGACAGATGTGGACCGCCTTCTGAGTTCCCTAGGTTTTGGCGGTGGCCACCAGGTCAAAGGTCACTCCGACTCGTCCACCCTGAGCTCGCAGCCTTCCATCGATGAAGTGAGGCAGCAGATGCACCTCCTGTTGGACAACGCCTTTGGTTTGGCCTCTGCCGAGCCAACCCCGGCAAACCACCACCACCATCACCACCACCCTCACGGTCCGTACAACCCCAGCCACGGTAGCCCTTACTTGGACGGGGTTACCAGCGCACCTGGGACTATGAACCACCCCAATGGAGCTCTACAGCGCGGATCCTCCTTTGGGCCGGAAATGCACCAGTGTAGCCTCCCCAAACCAGTGAGTGCCGCGTTTTGACGCAATTGTGAAATGAATGCAAACATTTGTAGAAACTAGGATTTAGGGTCCTATGTAGTCATCATATACGTATTCATAAAGTTGCTTTGTGCTTGGCTCTGCAGGGATTCAGGTTTACCCAGCTGCCTGATATGGGTTTGGGTTCCCCACCACCCCTCATCCCTCCACGAGGCGGAGCCCCACCTGGAACATCATTGAGGCGGTGAGACAAACCTTAAAATACTCATGTTTGGTTCATGCATTATATTATATTATATATAATTATATTATATTATATTATATATAATTATATATATATATATATATATATATATATATGCTTATTTGTATGCTAAATAAAATAAATGAACGCAAAATTATTTTCCATCTTTTAATTACATAATTTTTATTAATGTTTTTGAAAAAAGTCTCTTTGTAGTTTGTCAAAAAAATATATAACTAATATAAATGTAATTTAAGAAATATAACATATATATTTAAATATATATATATTATATATATATTCACACATACATTCAAACTCATATTCAGATCATGCATTGGGTTATAGGGTATATTATATTATATTATATTATATTACATTTGCTGTGTTTGCATGCTAAATAAAATAAATTATTTGTCATACTTTATTTAAGGTCATATTTACGTCATGCTTTTTAAGTCATTTTATTTTTAAATGTCAAAATGGTAATATTGTGAAATATGTTTACAATTTAAAAGAACTATTTCTATTTTTCCTGTGATGGCAAAGCTGAATTTGGTAGCAGCGATAACTCCAGCTGCTTAATATTATATATAAAACACATTCATGCTCATATTTGGATCATGCCTTTTGTTTTGTTGTAGTTTTCCTGTGGTTTAGTATTATATCTACACCTAAAAGGTACATTTCTATGCATCCTTTTATGTAAGACCAAATGTGACAGTCAATAATCATTAGAAAAATGTGATGAATTAATTTAGATTAATTAAATAAAAATGGTTTCAATTGGCTTATTTATTTACGTTTTTATTAATAAATTATAATATATTTTGTTTAATGTATTAAAAAAAAGTATTAATACTTTATTTGATATCCACATGTTAATCATTGTTAGCTGATTTACCTTAATTTATTAACTGTCATATTGGCCTTTAGGGGAAGATAAGGTTTAACTGATAATAAAGGGTACAGCGAGTGTATAATAGAGCGTACAGCCTTACACGACAAGCTTTTTTGGACTTTTCTTTTTCTGAGCGATAGCACATAGCATTACAGCATCACATTGCGAACTGTATTGAGGAGCTTTTTTTTCCTCTGAGATTCTGTGGCTGGCATGCATTAAGGGTGCTTTGCATGGTTGTCAGTCCTGTTGACTGCATTGAGGTTTGTCATGCGGCTCTGAGGCGATGCTGGCCAGCGTTGCCCCCTGGTGGTTTGGGAACAGTATAACAAGACTTCTTCATCTCTTATTGCAGCTCCACACCAGACATGAGTTTGAAGCCTCAAGTGTCTGAGGCCTCTGAGATGAGTCAGCACAATGGCACCCCCTATCTGCCAATCAACCGAGCTCCTTTCCCTGCTGTTACTGTCGACGAGTCTATGACAAGCTACTCAGGTCAGTGCGTTCGGGAAACGCTGGTTAAATGGGTCATATGATGGTTCTAAAAAGAACATTATTTTGTGTATTTGGTTTAATGTAATGTGTTTACGTGGTTTTTGGTTCAAAAAGTCATTATTTTATACACACTGTACATTATTGTTGTGCCTCTATGCCCCGCCTTTCTTAAACGCGCCGATTTTTAAAAACTCATCGTTCTGAAAAGCGCAGTGTGCTCCACTGCATTGTGATTGGCCCAAAAACCTTAACCCCCTGGGGACCAAGGGCTATTTGGGGTCCTTGGGATGTTTTGACATGCACTGACATCAGTGCTTTTTTCAGTTATTTATAAACATGTTAATGGAAAAGGTGTAAATTCACTCTATATAGCACAGATAGGGCTACCATAATATATGGTCAACATGTATGTACATGTTTGTATTTTTGAGAGAATATTGTTTATGCATGGTTATATATATTTTTTTAAATGAAAGTTGCTAAAGTAAGACCACAAAACACATACTAAATATGTGTCCACAAGACTTTTGACTAATGGATGTTGTTGCTTCGAATTCTGGCTTCAAAATGATGTGAAAATTATTCTGCCTAATCCTTTACATAAAACACAACATTAATTTATACTTTGTATGACGGTTTATGGTAATGGCCTATCAATATTAATGAGATTCAGACCAGGGGTGTGAACGACACTCCCCCAATGGTTAAGCAAGTAACGGATATGTCACGCCCCTTACCATATTTGGAACATCAGCTCCCAAAGCATTATTGACAGGTGATAATGTCGTACTACCTTATCAATTCGAGCCTGAATCTAAACCTGAACTGTTTGAAGAATGTCCAGGTTCTGGAAAATGCGCAGCACACAGACAAAGATTATAGTTGTACTGTTCTGGAACAGTGTTGTAAATAAAGCACAAGCACTGTTTTCTAATTGTGTCCTCTTTTGGAAGAGTAACCACCAAAGTAGTCACGAAAAAGACAGCGTCTCCACGACATGGTGGCGCCGACGGCAACAATAATACAGAGAATAAAAGTCACGCCTCTGTTCTTTGCGTGTACATTTGGGCGATGTTATAAAACTCTTCCCACAAACACTGACGTAGATTTGTGGAGGCGTTTGAATGAAGCATTTCCGGAAGGCGTGGCTTTTACAAAGAATATCTCTGACACTTTGAGCTTTGTAACAGCTACATAACACACTAAAGACAAATGAAAACAAGAAATCACATCATATTTTGGGTTTTTCAAACAGGAAACCCAATGACAGCAGTATATGCCATATCTGCCAACCGTCCCGGCTACTCTGACTATTTTGTCCTGTCACCACCGTCCTCCTACCGGAGCCCATCTTGGATGTCCTACCCTCCAGAGCCAGAGGACCTTCCACATCAGTGGAATGACACGGTAAAGGCAAGCTCTGTTTCTATATAAAGTACCGCCAGCGTGACTAACCCTACCCGACGACTCCTAACACATCTGGTATTGTGACCCAATTACACTCACATTTTGTTATTATCCACAAAGAACCTTTATTCATCTAAATTGTCTCTGCTGTGTCATCATAAATTTAAATGTCTTTTTTTTTTTTTCTTACAGAACCAGTGTCACCTGGAGACCATATGCTGAACTGGAGTCATTTCTGATGTTGAGCAGTCACTGATATTTAAAGGGGTACAGTATATTGGAGTTTTAGATTACTATCCATTTACATTATTATTACACTGATTATACATTTAAAAAAAAAAAAAATTAAAGGGATAGTTCACTTTGAAATTAATTTTTGATGTGTTTTAGCTTACCTCAAGGGCATCCTAGATGTAGGTGTCTTTGTTTCCACAGTATTTTCAATTTTGATATTTTTAGGTCAAACCGTTCTTGCCTGTCAGTCATATAATGAAGGTCTATGGTCACCACCTCAAAGAGCATGCACAGAGAAGTCCAAATTAAACATGATTTAATGACTCGTAAATGTAAGTACACATTGATGGCCCAAGACACGAAACGAGCGGTTTGTGTGAGAAAACGAACAGAATTTATACCGTTTTTACCTCTTGTAACCACAGCCACGTCCAAGTGATCTGAAGGCACAGGCGATTTGGTCTGCGCAAGCGCCGAAAAGTGCCGGAAGTGATCTCTTGCGCAGTTGCGAAAAAAATATGTTTGCATACATAATGTGTCTAAATATGTTTAGATCTTCACAGCGAAGGGTAACACTTCTGAAATCTTTGTGGAAACAATAAATTATGTACAAATTTTTAACAACATGAGGGTGAACTGTACTTTTAAGAAGCCATGTGATTGTATCTTTCAGGTTGTGTACCACCAAAAAGAATCGTCGTCTAATCTGAAATTTTGGATTCAGCAGCCCCAACCAACCACGACGCCACCCAGACCCATAAGCCACAAACTCACCTGCCAGCCTATGTGAGATGCAGCACCCATTATTAATCAACGTCTGCAGTGAGGGTAAATAACCACAACAACCACGCTGAATAAGCAACAGGTTTTTCCTCACTGGCCAAAACTGTGTTTTTCTTAAAGCTTTTTCAAATTAAGAAGTGTTGTATCTTATGCAGGTGGTTTTAAGTGTATTTTAAACACCCAAGTTACTAATAACGAAAAATGAAAACTTTTTTTTTTCTCTGTCTTGGGCTTTCCTTGCTTCATCGATGCCTATCTGTGTCTTTTGCTCTCATTCATGCATTTTTTTTAAGAAACGGTTATTGCAGGCGATTCTTTTTGAGCACTCCGTATGGCTTGTGTTAAAAAAAACAACAATGATGACGATGAATGATATAAAAGAAATCAAACATTTGGAGGGATGTTACATACTGTACTGTATCTACTGTAGTCACGATGCAAAAAATAGTATATGCTTTTTCTTTTTTCTCAAAAATCCATAGCTTATGCTGTATTAAAGTGTTTCACGATGCAAAAGCTTTCATGAAAGACATGAATCATGTTTTGAGAGTTCACGTGTGACATGGGAAGATAGCCATAAAGGTTTAGTGGATAAAGAGATTGGTAAATGATGAACGGATGGAGGGATTCATATTTTTAGTAGCCTTTTTGTAAGTACTGGAAGAGTAACAAAAACTACATATTTTATTGCCTTATGAAAGGTACCAAAACAGAGATATTTATGAGATAAAATATGCAGCATTCACCAAAATTGACTTTTTAAATCTGATTTAGAATATATTGATCCCATGAAATCAAATGAAAACTGTAGCATAATACCCTAATATGATATAAAATTGCCATAATTAAGCAAGTACGGTGTTGCAGAAGTAACATTGGGCATGTGTTCTTAAGAGAATGAGTCTAATGCATGTAGTCTGGACATATGAATCATAAGGGCTTTGTATGTCAAGCAAGTCCCATATTTTATTTGGGCAGTTATATGACGGAAATCTATTGTAAAAAGAATCATACACAACAGAAGCATCCCATTAAATACATGCTACCTGGCAATGTATTTTTCAAACCTTTTTTTTTTTTTAAAGCTATTTGCAAAATGAAATAAGATTAACATAATCGGGTTATGAAAATTACATAATGTGTCGTGTAAATTATTACATTATTACAAATGCCACTACTGTATGATTTGTGTTGAAATGAACGTTGTCCTTTCTGTTTAACTTCGGTGGTGCAGGGGATGTGCAAATATCTATCATGTAATTGTTCCTTTTTAAAGTTTTTTCTTTTAATATTTTTATATCAATTGAATCACCTTTTTTTGGCCAACAACTGAGGACATTCGGCTAAAAATTGTTACCAATGTAAAATATTGTGCTTCAAATGTAAAAAAAAAAAAAAAAAAAAAAAAGCCTTCTTGTGAACCTATGTGGGAAAATTGTGTAATATTCATAATGTGTACATCATCATAATAATAAGATGTTGACTTCTTTTCCTACTTATATGACACTAAATAACTCCATATTTGACAGTACTGTATATTTTCATTCGTTTCTGTAAAAATAATTCGGTTTAAACGTTCTACTTGTTATTTTCTTTCTTCTTGATTATTTTATTTAGCATAGTGTGTAAAATAACCATCATTATATAATGGTTTAACACTGAAGGACTCATTTTTGTGGGTTACACACGGAATCAAATCTAATAAAAACGACATTTGATCATTTAAAAATGATTTTAAAAGACTTTATATTGTGTGTCATGTTTTACTAACTGCTTTATTGTCCATTTTAGCATTTTTAAAGTTTATAAACAATGGTGTCCATGCTAGCCTAGCTTTGCTTAGCTAGCTTTTCATTTCCTGTCCAGTAGAGGGCAGCACTACCTCTATTTCACTTCAACCAAACCCTCCTCCGCCACAAAATTATTTCTGGCGTTGATGGAGCGGCTTTTATTCACTTTGTATGTCCTCTGACTCTAGTTTAAGCACATTTCGAGCCGTATTTTCTATCTTGCCCTGCTTTGGATGTTTATGTGCGGTCCCTTGTTTCTCTCCCCGTCCCTCAAGGGGATCCATCTACCTTGCCAAGGTGTCTTTCATCGGCTAACTCGTGGACTGGCCGGGCGGGGTGGGGTGGCTGTCAGCCTGGCTGAGGTGAGTTTCTCTAACGACGCAAGAGGCTGCCGGAGGGTAAAAGCGGCCTGTCCACTTCGCTCTCGTCTCTGCCCCTTTATCTGTGACAGCAAAGCCTTTCAAAGCCACATGAGTCACATCAATCACTGCAGGGACGGTCACGGAGCTTCTGTCTCTCCCAAATGTCTGGTTGCATTTAAAGCGCTAATTACTGTTCACCTTATAGACTAATTACTGCAGGTGAAGCTACATAAAGTAAATGGATTTTTGGTCATAATTCGCGGAACGACTTCCGACTAGGCTACAAAGAGTGATAGTCATTTTTGCTAGCCAGAATACCAGTTTTTGAATACCAGTGTTCTTTGGCATTTACAATTCAACTAAATGATTATTATCGTCGGTAAAATAGGGTGAATGAGGACACTTTTGCACTTTCGAACGGCAATATATAATATTGTCAAAAAAACATTTCAGACTAGCTAGCGAACGATTTTCCCCCTATTAATGTAAGTTAAGATATTCAAGCATAGCCTAACTTACATTAAAAGTGCAGTTTATATGGGGTTGGCGATATGGCCAAAAAATATATCAGTATTAATTTTTAAAAAGCTGCCGCTTGTCCTTAAAGTATGGAAGCTTGTTTCCGCCACTGAATGAAAAATATAAAAGGTAATTGCGACTTTTTATCTCACAATTCTGACTTTATATCTCGCAATTCTGACTTTATATCTCGCATTTCTGACTTTATATCTCGCAATTCTGACTTTATAACACACAATTCTGACTTTATAACTCGCAATTGCGACTTTATATCACGCAATTCTGAGAAATAAAGTCAGAATTGTGAGATATAAACTCGCAATTGTGAGAAAAAAAGTCAGAAGTGTGAGATAAAAAGTCACAATTATTTATTATATTTTTTTATTCAGTGGCGGAAACAAGCTTCCATATTATGGGGATAGTTCACACAAATAAAAATTATGTAACTTAATTACTCTATTGTGAGTTCGCCGCGCAACCCCAGAATGCATTGCCGTTACAGCTGTATTATTAGAAAACAGCCAGCCTGCTGTAAAATAATGGTGTATTTTTACACCGTGTAATGTAATTGTAATTTTTACAGCAATTCACTACAGTGTATAGTAAAAATATAAAACCTTTTTGAAAGCAATGAGCATTTCACCCATTTCAACATCTTCATCTTTATTGAAAGTTGATCATATGTAGTCGAAATGTAAAATAATTTTTGAATTTGGTTCCCTCTTGACCGAGAAAAGACCAAGAAAATAACCAAGGGGCGCATTTGTGTAAGACAACAACTCATGGAATATGGAATAAACCGAATGGACATTCTCGAGAGAGTCGACTTCCGGCGGAAGGGTGACCTCTAAACTGTTCTATACACCCAGGATGGCTTGAGGGTGAGTTAATTATGGAATAATTTGCATTTTTTGGGTGAATTGTTCCTTTTAATATTTTATAAAAATGGTATACATGTTTTTCAAAACCATATTAAACCAATGTCAATACAAAGAGTAGATTTCCATGAACTAAATCTTTGAAAATATTAGTCATTATTGTGGTCTTAGATGTCATTGACCGAGTGATGCGAGTGATTGTCGCATCATCTTTCTCGTCCTTACTGATCCTTTGGCTAGTCACATGATGTTTGGCCTTAGAGCCAGAGCAGCAACTTTACTGGAGGCTTGGGCTTCTTGCACTGCTGTCAAGGATGTAAATATGCGTTTGGAGCCCTTTGAGCTCTGCTGGCTCAGCTCGTGTGGACTGCCTGGGAGGCCTGGTGTAATAAGAGATGTTTAATCGCCTCTTTCAGTAATTAATGTGCAATCACTGAAAGGCAAACAAATGGGAATTGCACAGCACTCAGCAAATGATCAGAGTGGAGGGTATCAGCCACTCGGAGGATTTACATTTCCAGTGAGGGAGAGAGAGAAAGAGAGAAAATGCAGCTTAAGTGAACTAAATATGGTTAAAGCTAAAGTGATTCTCATTTAAGAAAGCCATAAAGTGACATAATGCAAATGCAAGCATGCATTTTTAACAAGTTTGGGAAAGTGAAAAATGATTAAAAAAAAAAAAAACGTGGGTCCCCGAGGCGTCATGTGGCTCGTGGATAACAGGGAATGTAGGTAGGCAAAGCTGTGGTATTATCTGAAGATGTTTACATTTTAAATATGCCAGGAGGATATTTGCATATTTATCTCAAGCGGCTTAATTTTTGCACAGCCCTTGTACTTCCTGCATCGCAGAAACTCTTTACACTGGTTAAACCACAACAGCAAATGCTCGTTCTGTGTTGTGGTCCCTGTGGTTTATAACAGCTCTTAATAATCATTGAGCTTTTTTAGATGCCTATAATATATTCACTTCAGAATCTATACTTCCTAATTAGCTTTTTCTAAAAAATGTATCTCCAATGAGCTGCAATGGGATATGGAAAAATCAATTTTAGATTTTGCGTTTAGAGCATGTGACTTGTGTTATATAACCTTAAAATAACCCGTAGGAAGGATTTCATTTCATCGCCACATCTAGAAACCATGGGATATTTAGAAAATGAAGAGTTATAATAAAGTATGCTAAATGTCATTAGCCTACACTAAAAGTTCCTCTTATATTAGCCTCTTATGCTCACAAAGGCTGCATTTATTTGATTTAAAAAAATACAATTAAAAAAATGTTTTCCATGAGAATCATGTATTTTAAAATGTAATTTATTCTTGTGATGCAAAGCTTTATTTTCAGCATCATTACTCGCAGTCTTCACTGTCACATGATCCTTCAGAAATCATTCTAATAAGCAGATTTGCTGCTCAAGAAACATTTCTTATTGTTATCGATGTTAAAAAAACTGTGGTACTGCTTAATATCAATATTTAACATGGAGTCATTTCTAAATAGATTAATGTTATAGGCCTACCGTTCCTGGATTGCTCAACAGCAAGCAAGCATAAACTATCTCGCGAGCAATAATATGACAAACTCAAGGACTCGACAGTCACAATCCAGCAGTGAGGCTAATGCCACCCCAGGCAGGCTCTGATGCACAGCCCTGGTGGCAACTGTGTGAGATAAGGAGCTTACTGGATGAATGCCTGAGTAATTAATAGATGGGGAGGGTGAATCTACTGTACGTTTCAGCTGCCCGACGCCGGCTCTTTGTAGACTAAGAACAATGACCCTTGCCACCCGAACGCCTTCTCAGTAAGACAGAAGGCTACTGCAACTCCCTCTTTCAAAGTTCTTTGTGTTCTTTGCAATATTGAACTGTGTGCTTGACAACCATTCTATAAATATACTGAATACAACATTGCTACCACCCAGAGATGAGCAAACTACGCTATGCTGCAATACCTGAAATTCACAGCTTAGTATTACATTTAATAACTGTTTTTTAAAATATATTTTTTATATAAAACAACTTACTTTTTATAGTGTGACAACGTGCCTCACTATTGGTCAAGGTGTTTGATGTAGAAATATCCTATTTCTTTTTGGTGAACTATTGTTGTGCTCATTAGTGGCATTTGCAAAGCAATAATACATTAACATTAACATTAAGGATGTAAAAATATATCATATAGCAATACAAAAATGCAACAATATGTACCATTGATAGTGACTGACAGTATGTATAATTCACCTAAAACTAAATTTCTGTTTCTGTCATTTTTTCAAGTTTTCAGAGTTTTAGGCCACGTCCACATGAAGCCGGTGTGTTCCCTATCTGTTTTTTTTTTCCCGACGTCGTCTCAAGAAATATCTGCGTGCACACAAAACCACTGAAACCGACTGAAAACGGTGTAGTATATATGCCAGACCAGTATGGGGCGCTGTAATTCTGCCACACTATAGATACACTATACACAGAGAAGAAGTCTTTGATCATGCGCATAACCTTGCGCGCTGTATACGAACCAAGAAGAAAACGACGAAGATGGCGTGTGACGAAGCCGACACGTGAAATGATGACATCATCGTTTCACAAAATATACGGATTGGCTGTACACACGAAAACCGCAAGGGTGTTGTTTTCACATTTATCCACTTCGGGACCCGGTTTCAAAAAATAGCGGTTTCACTCTCCCAAAACGCCGGATCCGTGTGGACGAAACGCCAATACGATAAAAAATGTATACGTACACAGTGCAACGCGTCTTCGTGTCAGAACTACATTAAACTGCTATATATAATGTATAATAATGCAATCTCAATATTTATGGGTCCTCCTGATAATGCCAAATGTCTTGGGTTACAGTACCAGTAAAAAGTTATTTTTATTTTATTTTTTTTTTTATTTATTTTACGTTATTTTAAATATCTAGTCAGTGACGAGAGTCAAGCATATTCGTTTAAAATAACTGTATTTTCAGCTTAAGAATCATGAATATTTTTTTGCTGGTGTCACCACTGTACATTACATTTATGTAATACCAAATTTTGCATTTTAATCAACAGTACATTTTTTGTTAACCTTTTACCAGATGTCTTGGAGTATCGCAATAATACCGTATTGTGAGTTCAGTATTGTGATGTGTATCAAATACTGACATGAAGGATATCGTTACACCCCTAATTAACATTTTAGTGGTCAAAAAGCAATTAGCTCCACCCCTAAATCCACACATTTGGTGCTATGCCCCGCCCCGTCTAGCCAGCAGACGAACATTGCAAATCCGTTTTTGGCCACTAGTGGTGCAGTGCATTGTCTATTCCAAAGTTGTAGTTTAAAATCCACATAATCCCCAAAAAATTCATCCGAATAAAAAGTGAGATCTACCAGATAACAAGCATATTATATGTGTAGTTAAACATTGCTCTCCATAGACGCTGTCCAGGACTGTAGGTGTTCTGGGTGAGTCATTTTCTAGAGTTAGGCTCAAAAAAGTGAGTTGCCAGCTGAGACAATGAATGCCAATGCCTAAGAAAAGCCGCTGAATGTTTGTGAATCAAACTTAATGAAGCAGCATTTTGGATTTGAGCACGAGTAAGTGCACTTGGTTGAGTCAGGGCGTTAGAATGTCTCATTAGTGGGACGGAAATGGAACAAATCTTGAATTAATGAAGCAGTTGATCTCCATTCTAACATGTCCATATCTCTATAGATCTAAACCGTAATCTCCCCGTTTTTACACAGGCAACACGAGCGCCAAGCTCGTATAGATGCCTTGTTTGGCCAGGAGCAATTCCATTTGGATTCTCTCCGAGGGCTCATTATCAAAGTCTCATCTACTAATAAGAAGGCAAGGCTATAATTATAGCTCAATATACCTGGCAGAGCTATGGCTCTGATTAAATTGTTGAAGGGCAAAATGAGGGCCTGAGAAAGGGAATGAGGTAGAGAAATGACATTGAGGGAGGCGAAGAGAGGAACTAGAGGGGGGAAAATGTTTTCAAATGATAAAAATATGCACACACTGTTCCCTGAGCTGAATTTTCTTATTCTGATTGACAACCTTTTTCATGATTTAGGAATTGCTTTTGTGTCCTGTGGGGAATGATTTCTTTGCATTTGATTAGATGTGTTTTTGTTTGCTCTTAGAAGATGATTTTGACTAGTTCTTTTCGTTCTCTGGGATCGAATCGCCTGGAATCTTCAGAATGCAGTTTTATCAGCTAAATAATTTACACAAATCTTTGCTCATGCAGCATTACGCACGTCACAGCAACCACGTGAAACCTAAATCAATATTAAAGTGCAGAACACCAGTTATATACAAAGGTGCAACGGAGCCCAAATGAATGCCCGTTACTGACTGGCCACGTCTGTGCCTTATGCAAATGAGCGCTAGGGAAGTGTCAGGTTCTCAACATGCCGTATGCAACACTAGTGCAAGATCAGCAGTCTGACAGCTATAGATGCACAGTGTGCTGTTTTCTCTTTATCTGTTTCCACCAGAAGCAATGCACATTTAAGTATGATTATTCTACAATAATGGCCACTTTTGTTTTCTGGGGCCAGTTGCATAATGTCAGTTTAGCTTTATTCATTTTCATATCTCCTCTGTTACTGTACCTGTTTCCTTTGTGCTAATTTCCCATCACTTGTCAGTGTTCTTGGACATTCATTTACAAAGCACAACTGTCTATATTCAGTTAATTATCTCTGTGTATTTAAGTTCCTGTTTAGTTCACGTTCATGGTCCGGTATTGATGGTGTGTTTGTGCTTGCATGCCATCTCACATCGTTGCGGATCAGCTGAGTTTACTTTGTGTTAATAAAAACACTTCTATCTGAATCTTCATCATCATCGGACTGAAACGGACTTATAAAATAAGACAGACTTATAAAATCTTAAAGGTCCCCTGACATGTGGTTATTTTATTATTTTATAATGTTTCCTGGGTTGCCCTTATAATGTTAGTATGTTTTTTAAATTAAAAATAGTCATAATTTAGT